GTGTTTTTGTCACATTAACAATAAGGTCCAATAAATGCTAAAAAATTATTTTCTCAATATTAGTGATTAAGGAACTCTGGGTTTATTCACAGTTCATTAACAGTTCTGATTGTTTAAGTTAGTATTTATGACCACTTAGCTCGGTTTCTTCTACAGAGTTACAGCTAATATATAAAAAAAGATACATCTTTTTTTTTCTTTAGTTAATCTTATCAAGGACTTGTTTAATAAAAAGGTGTGCTCCAACATCTAAAGTGTTTCCTAGGCCTTGTGGGAGATTTGCTTATGCAAAATTGGGTAAGGAACCAACTGGTAGCAAGAATTACTATTTCATGTTTCGTAATGCTGAAATTTTTAATATATGTATATAAAATATTCACCAGCAATGTACAATTCTACTTTATATTTACCTGTATTATCCTTACACTGGAGACCTTCCTCTTCAAACCAGCTTGCTTTAATTCAGTTGTTAACTGAAACAATGGTTCAGAAAGAAATATTTCTTTCTTTTGTTTCAATTACCAGCTGAATTAACAATTTAAATAACTTATTCTGCCAATTTCATATTTAAAATGAATTAAAGGCAAGATAGAATGCCAGATTCTATTATTCCCAGGGTTTGCTCCAAGTAAGGACATGAGCCAAGAGGCAAGCCCTTTTTTTCTATAAAGAAAATTTTCTTTGAGAAATATGTAGAATGAGTTATTCAGTTTCCTGCCAAATAAGAAAGATAAGAATATATATGATGTTGCATCGTGTTTGCCAGATCAGCTGGACATCTAATGAAAAGGAGCCAGGGCCTGATCCATCTCTCTCAGAAGGCTTTCTTTCCATGAGCTCTAGTGAGAGCTGGATCTAGCCCCATCTGCATGCTTTCAGGCACCAGACCAATTTTCATTTCCTGACCTGCATGTATTTCCATTGAGAACACTGCTATTGCTGAGAGAGAGGAACAACTTATCAGAAGATTACAAATATCCAACACCTTTTTTAGTTGACATTCTGCAGATACAGTAACTTTATCCAATCTGTTAAATATTTCTATCCACACCTTCAATGTTATAATGTATTAAACAAAAACAACAAAAAATAATATTAATTGCTTTATTACAAAAAATGCATCTGCCATATTTTCATGAATGTGTTATCAGACACATGCATTCATGTATGTACACATAAGCCTTCATCTCTGCCGCAAGGACTAAGAAGCCTTTCAATGTACATGAATCAAGCAGCTCTACATTGCAAGACTTTATTTATGTGACCACAAAAAATCACATAGTGCTACTGATTACAAGCCAGATCATTGCAGGTTTCCAGAATCAGTCCCTTAGAACTTGTCATTTTTTTAAATTAATGTCATAATTCATAAGGACTGTCTGTTTATGCATTTGCTACCTAACCTGAGGCATTTCACGTAAATGTTTCAACTCCTTTAGCTTTAAATGAATTATCTTCTGAAATAGTAGAACCTTAGGGTGCTATTGTAAGAGTAACTTCACACCAATCTTTTGTGAAATGCTCTGAGCCCTCACGGTTTCCTTCCCACTCTCAAAATAACCAATAAAATATTTATTAAAACAGTCTGAAGCACACAGGGTGATGTAGGCTGAAATTTTGTTCTTTGCTTATTACAGTAGCGTAAACACCCTAAGTTGTATTTGTATGAAAGCTATATTCTATAACACAAACCCCGCTGGGCAAGTAATACATTAGATCTGTATTACTTTCTATTGCCAGTCTCATCAAGCTGATTCGGAATTTGTTGTCTGGGTAGAGTGACTCATATGTTTACTGGTCCTGACAGGTGCTGGGCATCTTCCACACTCATTAAAGTTAATGACTTCAACAGCAGACAGGGAAAACTGTATGCTGAAGTAGGTTTCCTCTTAAAAGGTATTCCCAAGTTATCATTTTAAGAGAGTATGTAAGTGGTGTCGATTTTCTTCTGCAATCACAAAACCAGCCCATAATCAAACCCCTATCCCTTCATTGCAAAAATAACCCAATTAGCTTCACAGGGACTCCTTGTTGGAGTAAAGCAAGAAAAAAATTGCACTGTACACAGAGCTTTCCACATAAAAGCTCAGTTTCTTGCCATAAAAATAGTCACATCCTCACCGGAACAGAGGAATTAACATAGTGGAAACAAGCCAGTAATTTTATAGAAATATATGCCTTTAAGTAAGCTCTAAAGCAGTATTCTCACAATAGCCACAGCTTTGGCATCATTTCTATCCCAACAAGCCACAGCTGCTGAACTGGAGACTTCTGACTTCATATTAGATAAGTAATGAGAAGTTTTAAGCAGTGGTGCCAGAGCCTATCCGTTAATATCAATACAGCATGCTACAGTTGTTGACCAGGTACACCCAAAAGATACGCCTTTAAATTACACTAGTTAGCTAAAAATATTCAGGTGAGAACTTCACAGAGACTTATGCCATGACATTAGACTGTCAACCAAGATATGAGACCAAGACCTCACAGGCATCTGTGTATTCAAAGAAAACCAAGAAATTAGGAGGACTGAATCTTTAACTACAGAGAGACCTCTGCTTTGATGCCTGTCCAGACACTAGATCTGCACTATTAATATGTCAAAGTCCTGTACCCTGGCTTCCCCCCAACAAGACAGAAGTACTGAACCAGAGACCTCACAGAAACCTGTGCCTTAATGTCAACCTGCCATGCAAAAGTTCCTGAGCTAATGGTCTTGCAATGAGTATAACATACAGCCATCTGAAGGAGGAAAAAGAAAAGATTAAAACCTCTAAAAATTAGGCAGAAGAACTATTGAAGTCTTGGATACTTATCACTTTTAATGTCTAAATTTTCAGCATCTTCCAAAGCAAAATATAATGGTACATTTCCACAGTTACATTAAACATAACTGTTCAATTAAAAAACTGTCCTTCTTCCTCTTTAGCAGGTCTCACACAAACATTTCTTGCCCTTATAATATCATAAGACACTGAGGTACAAACCACTGAGCAACACATCTTCCAAACCCAGACTAACGTGCTGTTTGCTGGAAAGAATTTGAGGAAAATCAAAAAAGTGATTGCAACAGAATTAGTAGGCAAAATGTTGACTGATGAAAAACTGTTCAGAAGTTTGGAATATATTTCAGTAATTTGGGGAGAGATAGTAGTCAGTAAGTTGCAGGATTAATTCATTTATTAGAAATTTACCTTAATCAACCCAAATGCAATGTTCTGCCATATGAATAACTGTTTGCTCCCTATAAGTAACTGTTTGATGGCAAATGCCAATGTACTTTATTTCTTAATGAAGTTTGAAAAAGAGATTGACATGATTCTGGGAAACTTTTCCAGAAAATACTTAAATGACTCAATGAATAACATTTTTTTTTTTAAAAAAATTACTTCTGAATTAAATATTACTAAAAATCAGGAGTTTTGCAGTCCAAAATAGGATTTTGTCTCCTATGACGACATTGGAGAAAGTCTGCATACAGGTGCCCCAAAAACTTGAAGCAAATATTTTCTTTCCGAGTGCTATTTTTCCATCCACATTGGCACAAAAAGTAATTGGAGAAAAAAATATTCCAGGAAAGCCTTTCCCTTCTTGATGTCTGAAAGGAGTTCTTCCCGTTTTCATAGTGCCGGATCTTTACATTGTTCCTCATTTTCCACCTACACTCTTAGCATTTTTCATTGCTTTCTTTTACCTTAAATTAATTTTTAATTTATAATGCTGTGATTTCTGTGTCTCATTTAAGCACGATAGTCATCTAACACTGCCGCATGACTACAAAAGTCTAATATTCTACAGAGTCAGTCGCTGACTTCTTTTCAGATTTCACTTACTTTAAGTCAGAAAAAGCTGAACGGCAGCAGCTGCTTTATCCGTCTTTTACAGTCTTTGATGCCTCACTTGGAAAGGCCTAGACAACTGTTTAATGTGTAAGGGTAGACCTCCCCATACTGCTATGTGAGAGTCCCTGCTCATATTGGGCAAGATCCAAAGCCCATTAAAGTAATTGAGAATCTTTCCATTATCTTCTGTGGAGTTTGGTTGGGCCCAACAGGTGAAAGGCAGTCTTACTGAGATGAAAGATTCACTGGAAACACTTCACAGTCTTGATGGTGATCAGCAGAAGAAAGGGATAGTTAAGTTCTTTCATAAACTGCAAGGCTAAATTTGCTGGACCAAACCTGAAAACTGGAGTATTCTACAGTTCAGATACTGGTTCTCAATGTTTAAACAAATGAAACTGTTTCCTTCTACCTGGAAACTGAACATGGTTTTGTAATGCTTTGGCTTTGCTGGCACGTGTGGCATGCAGGGAATAAGCAATGGTTAACCAGGCTTAATGGACAAAGTCTACAGGGGCTTATGAGTGCTTAGGAAATAGACCTCAATTAGCATTTTACAAGAGGCAACCAGGAAAAAAGTGCTTGTTCTTAGATTTGAAATAGCCATAGAAAGCCTAAACACACTTCAATCTAAAAATGATATACCAATTATTATTTTTCTATTTGTAATGGAAATACTATCAAAACTTCACATGTGTGTAACTGCAACATGACTAAAGATGCCAGTGTTACCTATGCAAATGAAATCACTGTAATAAAAGCTGTTTTCCTTATTGTCCACAAAGTACTGAAATTCTAGGTCGCTGCTATAAGAATTCCTGTTGTGACTATCTTCCTAATCATTCATCGTTCTACAGGTTAGATCCTGAACCACCTGTCAACCATATTCCTATGCAAATTGCTTTATTTTGCAGAGCTAGCAACATGATGACTTCAAAGCCTTTCAACAGCACTGCAGGGCTGCATAACAACAGATCCTTAGCAAGCAACTTACAAGGCCGATTAAGAGCATCAAAAAGTATCTTTTGCAAACTATCCATCAGAGAAAGACAAAAAGACAGTCAAAATATAATGAAACACAAATCCAATATAAGTGAAAAGATTAAGTTGCATCTTACTTCATTTGCATTTTCTGTTGGGATGTTTTTATTTTTCAGCTTTTTCTGCAGCAGTTTGGTTTCATACTCTGGTCTGGGATGCTCCTGAAAAAGGGAAAAAACAACCAAATGTGTGGCTATGATTAAGAGAAAAGGAAAAAAAAAAAGTTCTGGTCACTTATTCATAATCCAAGCCATCAAGGTGAATCAACACCACAGCACCTTTTGGACTAGGGCGATCACTGTCTAGAGGTGTAGATACATTATGGGATGCTTAGGGGAGGAACCAAAGGTGGGGAAGGGAGGGATGTAAGTCACTTGGGAAGGAACAACTGTGGAAAAATAGGGGGATAAAAAGGGCCAGTCACATGTAAATAATTTGCTGGTCTGTATGGGGGTTTGCCCACCAGTAACTGAAGCAAGTGCAGATGTGAGACTGAGTATGTAAGCACTAGAGGAGATCAGCCTGAAGTAGGTGAAGTGTCTGGGAGCCAGGGAGGTGTGAGTCTCTAAGGGTGAGACCATGGCAGAGTTGACTATCAGAGGGACCAGGGGAGTCCCAGCTAAATGCCAGAGACACCACAGGGTCTGGGGGTGTCTAGGAGCGTGACCCACTGGAGTGTGTGTGTGTGGGTCTGTGTCCTCAAGGTCAAGACCAGGGTGAGTTGTTCTGCTGGGGGACCGAGGGAGTCCCAGCCAGCTCTGGGGGAGCAGGATGTATGTGTGAGTGTGCAACTGGAGAGGGCCTGTAGTGCTATGGGCTTGTACCTCTGGGTGCCAGCAACCGCGGAGACCGAGGTCCAGGGGCATCTACTGGGCACACTGAGGGAGCCCAGCTGCTGGGGGGATCCACATTGTACATACACACATATATATATTCTCACTAGCAGACGTCCATCCTGCTCAGCCAGGGAAAGGAGCAGGATGAGGCCATTGTGCCATCTGTGTTTGTGTGCCTTCTGTGTGCATCTGTCTGTGTGATCTGTGTGACTGGCCATGTACATGTATGCATACATGTGGTGTACATGTGTGCTCTGTGTACGTATGCCTACCGGGAATACATGCTTAGTCTCACTGCAGGTTGGACCTGGGGACAGGGAGCTGTGGCTGTCTCGCCTTTCTTGGGCTGTCAGATCTAGCCCAGTTTCCCCTATCAAGAACCTTTCAAGGTTTGTTTGCAAATTATATTTTTCTTTTCCAAATTAAAGCATAAATTAAGCATGGCAGCACAAACTTACCAGGATTTTAAAGAGAGCAGCTCATGAAAAAGACAAATGCCATGTATCTCCTCATTCCCGCCAAGTTCTGAATTCATTCAGAGCCTGGAATTTGAATTTGATGCCTCTCACAAAAAGGCGATTTCTATAGCATTGGTCATACCATCCATCCTTACTATAATTAGAACATATGCTTATCAGCCCAGTCACAAAATTGACTTACTAACACCATTTCTTTAAAAATTAATTAATCCTCATGGACAATAGAACAGGGGTTGCATGGAACTTCAGCAGTCTTCCTTGGGGGATATATGTGCTGTTCATTTTCTGTTATCTGTAACATTTTCACTACATCAGGCACCATCTTGAGCATTCTCTGTTGCACACCAGTATATAGACATAGTGAGAGTTCCAATGTATTTTTTATCCTGATCATGAGATTTTCCTGATGCATTGACAGGTATGTTAGAACACTATCATTTAAATAACTGCCTTAAATGAATATTTCTGTATCTTTTTGACCTCTATGAACAAGTCATATGCATGTCTGCCCTAAAGACAGTCCCACAAATGGCACATGGATTCTACTGCTCCCATGGAGTCTGATACTAACATGGGAGGCTTGAGGGAACTTTCTGTCTCTAAAGCTCAAGTACAGCTATGCCTCTGAGACTCTAGCACTACGATGCTATAACAAACAAATATAATGAAACTGCTAGCACAACAGCTTCTTTTACACTTGTAATTTCATGTACTATTCAAATTAATAAACCACATTCCAAGGGTGCAAGCGTGACACTCTTGACATCACAGAGTTCTTTTACATTACTTATGCCTCACATAAAAATCAATACTACAATGAATGAAGTTCAGGAATCACTATAGCACTTCTTGTCACAAGGGTCACTGTTGTTATTACTTACAAAGTGCTATGAGTGTATGTGGAACTCCAAGAAATAATGAGGCACGGGTAATCTCTGACATTACTAAAATTGATTAGCAGCAAAAATGGTGGTGAGCAGGATGGGGAAAGGAAAGACAAAGATACAACAACAAGTGCTTAAAGATGCTGTGGTCAATGCATGTATCTTAATGTTCTGTAAATTTTCACTAGCTTGTGGATTTACATTAATTTGTATCATGCTTCCTTAGAAAAGATTCAAAGGTCACATGGAAGAAACATCTTTAGACTTAAATGAAGAAAGGATGAAGGCATCAGGCATGGATGGCTACATGAGAGGAGACAGCTTGATGAAAGTAGGGAAATGAGATAAATGAAGCTGTAAGGAACTGAGGAGATCTAATCACACTATGGGAGCACCTGCAGAGTTGAATTGGCTTTCTTCTTTTTTTCTTGTTTTCTGCTAAGCAAAGCATTCTGGAACAGCAGGGGCAGCTGCCAGAGGCCAGAGCAACTTTCCAAAATTGGTGTGAAAGGAAAAAGGGTGAGAAAATCAAATGCCAAGCAAAACATTGTACTGTAACTTACTTTTTTGCTATTGACAATTTTGCTTTCAGTGCATATACTGTTCAAATTTGGTCAAGTTATATTTAGTTTTCCTAGTAAGACATTTCAATGTCCTTTTAACTGCATTCCATACACCTACGTCTGGATTGGAAAATTAATTGATCTGTCTTCACTGAATCTGCCAAGTCATCTTACCCTTGATTGAACAGTCCACAACAGACCGCAACAGACCACAACAGACCACAGTGCCTCCTGGAATGCATGTATGTATATCTTCTTTTTATGAGTATATTGCATGAAACAATTCTTTACAAAATAGATTTAGAGATACTTGATCCTGATCATATATACATGGATTTAAAGGAACAACTCCACTCTGCTGTAAAAAGAGTGTGATTCAGAATCAATTCTTTGTCTGAAAATGGGAAGAGTTCTACACTTAGGACAATAAGCTAGAAATAGTTGTCATGACTTGAAGAAGGCCAAGTGTCCATGTACAGATAAATATGAATCTGGAAGTTTGCCAGTACAGCTGCCAGACACTTATTGAAAACCATGTGAGCCAAGGTACTGTGAGGCCAAATGAGTGCTCAGAGTTGAAAACGATAATTCCCATCCTGAGAACAAAGAGCCAAATCATGAAATTTTTATTCAGACAAAACTCACATTGACGTCAGTGGGAATTTTCCCTGAGAATGGTCTCCAGGATTTGCCTCAAACTTACAACATGTGTATCCACAATGCGTTGCAAATTAAGGCTGTGTAGGTAATGATCCCGTTTGATAAGAATATATAGAGAACCGATCTCTCCTTAACTTCTCTTTGATTTACGAAGAAAGTGATAATGGAATTTTACAAAGCATGCATGACAAATACATCTGGGTTGCTAAGAAAAAACAGAACCTTAGAAACTATCCCAGATTAACAGCCCAAAGGAGTTATCAGCAAAAAATAAGCCAACCCACTGCTTCATTTTTACACTTAAAGGAAAGTCAAAGAAACACTGAGAATTCATTGAACAGCCTTATCCTAATATGCTGAACACAAACAGAGCAGCAAAGCAGTGCACACTGGTAGGAAGGAAGGTCTCCACAGATGAGAACTGGAATGTTCCATCTGCTGCCCTACACCAAGATGGAAACTTGGAATGAACAGAACAGAGAGCCCAGCTGTTCTTTGCTGACAGAGAGTTAATTATTACAAACCAAGGACTAAAAGCCTCTATTTCTTATGATGATGACACAGTGTGGGGAGAAGGCTAAGGAAGAGATTGTCATTCATACCAATGATCTGTTTAGACTGGCCTAGTAATGGGATGCTCATCCAAGGAAAAGTACTTTTATATCTCAGCACATATGAAGGGATCACTGGATGTTCACAATCTTTTTAGTCCAGATCACTTGCACAATAAATTTGATTTATGTAAAATCAAAACAAAAGCTTGAATAAGTTATCTAACATTATTACAAATTTAGGGATGTTAAAAACAAAAGCCACTATACAAGTACATAGGAACTCAGCTATCAAAGGTATTGTAAAGCAACATAAAACTGAAGCAGTCAAAACTAAAGAACCCGTAAAGTATATTATGGAAATATATTTGCCAGATAAATAGATAGATATAATGCCTTTCTTTGCTCCCATAGAACAAGACCAGTAGTAGTGCTTCGGAGGATTACCTTCAAAACTAAATTTTGAAATATGGCCTCAGATTTTTAAGTGCCCTTGAGACCAAACAACCAAATGCTGCCATTGCAATGTCAAGATATCACATTTTGTGGGTAGCTGTAGCAGAATATAGCATCATTTATTTTTGTTCATTATTCAGTTCAAATTCAACCCATTTAAATATGCCTACATCAGCAAGCTAGATGTCCCTTGAACTCTGGTATTGAAAACTTGGCTTAACATTATTTATTCTACTGCATGATAAGTCATTGCTGAAACAAATGAGCTGACAAACATAAAGAAGAAACCCAGCTGTAAAGTTGGATGCCAGCCCATTTAAATGGGGCACCACCCAGCTTGTCAGTGGAACAACTTCCAGCTTACCTTATTGCTCTAACTTTGATAAAATATTACCTGGTCTCTAGAAAATGTAAAATGTCTGTGCATATCACTGTCATGTTTATTGGTTTTAGTTGTCCTATGCCAGTATCAAGTAGTCACAGTCATGGACTAGGACTCTATCACTTTAGCCACTATATAAGCATAGAACCCCTTCTCCAAAGAAATGTTCTTAAAGAATGGATTGTTTCTTCTTTGGGCAATGTTCTCTTTTTTTGTCTGATAATGTGCAACTGTGGGAACACTTGGCTGTGGAAGCACTCTTTAGGGGAGTGTGTTTATGGAAATTTTTCTCCGTCAATATTTAGGACTGAGTGTACTTTGGATGGATTACAGATTTGTAGGTCTCACAA